AAAAAAAAAAGAAAAAAAAAAAAAAAAAAAGAAAAACACCCCAAAAAGAAGAAAAAAAATGTAAAAAAATAGGTCGACGCTCAACCCCAACCCACCACCCAAACCACGCAGCAAGTGTATTCCAATACCGCCACACCACGGTGGAGATCGATCTGCAGAGTGAAACCTCCCTGAACCGGTCTCCTCCATTGCTTAGGACACCACCAGCGATCGTGAGTTACCTGCACGAGTGGGACGTCACCGCCATGTTCGGACTGGGCACCGCTGATGGCTTTGTCGTTAGACAGAGAGATGGGTGGAGAAGTTGGGGATCGTTGATATCTCCCTCCTTGATGACCGTTACAGCCGAAAGTTTGGGAAGAAGGTGGTTATATAAACTTAGTAAAAAGATGGGGGTGGAGGCCGAGGTTAGGCCGGGGAGGTGGGGTCGCTGCCGAGGGATCTTTTCTTCTGCTTCTACGGAGGAGTTGGTTGAAATATAGTTTCATCTCATCTCATCTCACGATCTTGTTTGGTTTGACTCAACGCGTTTCCCATCCCATATGAACGCTCTCTCGCTCTCTCGCCTACCTCGCCTTCGTATTAGAATACTACACAGGCATAGCCTCATCCACCACAAGATCCGCCGCGTCGCAACCATGCCCCTCCCCTCCGTCTCGCAGCTCCAGGAGGACTGGAAGCAGATGTACCAACGGACTCTCCCCTCGGCCGCCAAGGCCAAAGCCCCTTCGCAGCCCAAGTGGCCCGTCCAGCTGGACCACTGTTTCGCGCGCATCATCCTCGATCACGTCGTCGGCGGAGTCGGTACGCCGTGGACGGCGAAGATCAAGAGCCCGGCATACAAGAACATGTCGCGCGAGCAGCTGGTGCGCAGCATTGATCTGGGACGGCAGATCTTGGAGGGGGAGGCTGACTTGGCGGCGCTGGATGGGGAGAGTTTGAGGGCGAGGGGGAAGAAGCAGAAGGCGGGGAGGAGAGGGGACGTACTGGCGGGTGCGGGGGTCAAGATCACAGATGGCAGTACTGCTGGGAAGAGGAAGCTGGGGGATCTGGGCGAGAGCATGAGCTGTAGCTCTGACAACGATGCGAAGAGGATAAAGGTTTTGGGGACAGCAGCACGTTCCAGTGCAGAATTGAAAGATGCGCATGAGACGGTGCTCCACACGGCCACGCTCACGGACATGGATACCGAGAAGAGAGAGGACCTCGTGCCGTACCTAGAGAAAATCGCCCTCTCCCAGAAGACAGAATTCCAAAAGAGGGTGCTCACGACACTATGCCAGGTCCCGCGCGGAAGCTACACCACCTACGGCGCAATGGCCAAACACCTGTCTTCTTCCGCGCGAGCGGTGGGTAACGCGCTCCGCAACAACCCCTTCGCACCTGCAGTACCCTGTCACAGAGTCCTGGCGAGCGGTGGTGGTCTAGGCGGGTTCCATGGGAGTTGGGGTCGGCAGGGCGCTGAGGGATTGCACGACGACAAGAAGAGGAAGCTGCTGAGGGACGAGGGGGTGAGGTTCGATGGCACGGGGAAGGTTGTTGGTGCCCCTTGGCAAGGGTTCAACTCAGCCAGCAGTTAGGTCCTCTCATATTCCACAGGTCTTGGATGGTCTCCATGCTCATCTGACCACCACTCATTCCAGACAAGATAGATGACTCGGTTGTCAGCGCAACTACTCCTCTGCCGCTCTTTACCTTTTCTTGCTCTTCCAAGAAAGGTAGCTAGCCGAGACAACAGATGGATCAGGCAACAGATGGATGAAAATAGTAAGCTGACCAAAATTTCCCAGCATCTCGCTTTCGAGCTCCCGAGCGGAGTCGGCAGACTTACGTGGAGCTGAGAATAAAGTGGCGACCCTCAAGATCCCCTACGGAGTAATCAATAAAATGATGATTGTCCCGAGGGCGAGGGCTCGAGTCGATCATGCCCCCGTACGCTTGATACAATACTGTTAACACAATGCAATACAATAAAACCAATTTTCTTTCCTAAAAGCCCCCGTGATCTTCCTGCATACCGCGGCTCTTCTAGAGAGATGACTTTCGCCTCGATGCAATCAGGCGCGGCTGAATGGTGAAAGCATTTTCTTGTAGGGAAGGTACTTCTTTCGCAGCTATCTCTCTGGAGAGCATTCGCCCATTTTTTTGCTCAGGTCCAGCATAAGCTTCTAGGAACTATATAACCATACAGACAGAGAGATAGATAGACACATCACGAAAGGTCCTCCTCTCCTTCTTTAGGATCCCAAGCAGCGGCTGCTGCTGCGAGACCTCTTTATACTTGCAGGAGAATAGGTCGAAACTTGTTCTGCAACATGATGGATGCACTTGCTGCTGCAGCCCCAGTTCATCGCGGCCTCCGACATCGACTTACTCAAATCGGGTCTCCATCCCCGAAATACCTCTGACGCAGGAAGAGATAGAGAAGAAAGAAGCCTTGGAAATTTATCGGCTCGGCTACCGAGGAGACGCAGACTTCATCGCATTCGAGAACGATTTCTAGATCGGTTTCGCCGGTTCGCGGCATTGAACTCACCCTTGGAAAAGAAACTACCGATGAGGTAGAAACAGGATTGTCTGCTACACCGTATGTCGCTATCGCGTCTTCCACTACCTTTGCTTGACGGACATATCATGTTGTACAAAGGCAGATCCGCTGCAGAAATACCTAGGGATTCTAGTCTTCTAGACTCAGAAGGCATGGTGAACATGACGGCCCTAGCTAGCAGCAGTCAATGTGATTTTAACCAAGTCGAGACTGCATGGTATTTCTCTAGAGAAGAAGAGACAGGCCAGGTGTATCGAAGTTTTGCTGCCGTTCGAGTCCTCGGCGCTCAGCCGTGGATATTGAAGATCCAGGTTCCACAGACTTTTCTTGATTCTACACAGCGGGCTGAACTCTGGTACGGGCGCGATTGGAAGGAATTCGTCTGGCGGAGTAGAAAAGGCGAAATACCTAGTGATCCAATGCCAGCGAAGTTCGATGAATACGCCAAGCCTGGAATTGCCAAGATTGTCGAAGGCCATGTCTGTATCAAAGCACCGACCGTCGTTTCCCGAACCAAAAAAGGGGACGTACAGTTTGAGATGGAGGAAGGACACTGTTTAGTGATCCAGACGAGTTCTGGAGAGAGAAAAGCAACACAATTTGTCATCATTGACAGACGGGTTGCGAGGGATTTAGGGCGTCTTATTCGCGGAAAGATTCACATAGACGTCTACCCCCCAAACTCATGATGTCTCTCTCTCCGTTCGTCTCCCCTTCCCCTGATTTACTTGACTTGTTCAGTTTTGACTCCTTGATTCTATATTATGACCAAACTGGGGGGGGGGGCACTTCCGTTGCATTCGCGAAGGTTGGAGGGCCATATCGTGCGGGAGGTTTCGAAGAATTCGTCGACGTCTATCAAGGGCACCCAGGCGTAATGGGGACCTGAGAGACAAACGCATGCATTTGCCATAGATATGTATCTATTTGCATCTTGATATGTTGGGCGACGCTATATCAGTTATGGGAGAGGGGATGGTGCAGCGGGGGAAATCCCAGATGCTGCAGAGGGCTGGTCACAGGCCGAGGCTGAAGGCAACAATAGAATCTCACGATATCTAGCGGCGGTTGATGGCGTCCTATAAGTGGCCTCTTCTCTCATAAAGGAAGGGGGAAGAGATGGCCTGAATTCTTTTGTGGCGTCTTTTTTTGTGTACACCCTCCTCTTATTTCTCCCATTTCCTCTGAGAGACCGGCATGATTATGTATTTAAAAGAAGAAGAAGAAGAATCCACGCCATGCTTATTCACCCAGAAAGAAGACCAAAGAGCACCAAGAAGGAGGTGGGACTTTACTTATTGAGTAGACAGCACCTGAAACAAAAACTAGTTAGTGACTGTAATCCGACAAAAGTAGAAGTCACGTGGTAAAATAAACAAAGCAGGCTCGGCTAATCGACGCTAAAAGACGACTAGCATAGTCGACCCCATTGACTTCTCCCGTTCTTCTCCTCCAAGCAACTTCAACGTCCCAACTATTCATACTCCTCAGAAACTCGCTTCTGCTTACATTTGTGAAGGTTACGACCAAGATCACGCATGAGATTTCGAATGAGACTAGCCCCACAACAATACTTTGCCAACTAGCGCGTCCCTGTGGAGCTATTTCACCTTGGGACCGTCCAGGTTATCTCCTTCTCTCTCCTCAACCTTACAACCCCTCATCCGCAACAACGGATTCCTACTCTTTGATATCTTTGCTTCGCCTTCAATAACACTTCCAACACCTTCAAACAAACATCCCCACACAAGCCGGCTCGATCTCGAGTCACCACAAAGGTGATGTCGAGACGTACGGTCGCCTTGCCTTCGGGCAGCGCTGGCAGTGCTCCCGCACCCATCCCTCAATATCTATCGCAAGGATCCACCCTGAGCAACGGTAGCAATAGCTCTACCGATTCGATCTTGACCCAAGTCCCCATGCCATTCTACCTGCCATTTGGCGCTCAACAGCAAGAGTTCCAGCACGGCGGTACGCAAGAGCAGCCAGGTGGATATCAAGCATCATTCGGTGGGCCAGACATGACCGTCCCGGTCATCCACCCCTTCCAAGCCCCGGTACCAACATCGCTGAACCCAGGCTCTGCCTCATTTGCCCCTCCTAACAACGGTTATGTTCATGCTGCTTACGGTGTCCTTCCTACCAACTCCGGTGCGCCCAGCTATGGTCAGTACCAAACCGCCGCTCACATGGGTCCCGCTTCTGCCTATCAGGCTCCCAACCCCTACGGACAAGAAGTGAATGCTCAAGGCGCAAACGTTGGTCAGTATGCTTTCACTTATGGCAGCTCGAACCCAAACCAGTTTGGCAACCTGAACCCAAACCCATATGGCAACCTGAACTCAAACCCATATGGCAACTCGAACCCAGACCCATTCGGCAATTACGGACAAGGTGAGAACCGATTTGGCGCATACCAACCTCAACCAAACCTACCTGCTACTTACGGAGGAGGCTATACCAATGGCGGAGGCTATACCAATGGCGGAAGCTATGCTCCCAACACCTACGGTCCAGTTGGCGGTACCTACGCACCTCAAGGTTATGGCAACCCTCCATCCATGGCCCAGTATTCCGTTCAAGAACCTGGAGCTGTAGACTGGGTCAACCCTGCGAACGCCAACCGTGGCAAGCCTGCCGGAGCACCAGTCTACAGAAACTCCACGTTCAACGCTGCTGCCCCCGAATACAAGCCACTGTCCCAAACCGCCGCCGTTCGCACTGCCAACTTCGACAACCGCGCCGAGTTTGCCAATAACCAGGGTCAGAATGACCATGCTGTCAAGATTCCATCGAGAACCCCTTCTGCTGAGGTGAATACGGGTAGTCGAGTAAACAACCTCAAAACCGCGCCGAGTTTGCCAATAACCAGGTTCAGAACGACCATGCTGTCAAGATTCCATCGAGAACCCCCTCTTCCGAGATGAATATGGGCAGTCGAGCAAACAGCAGACTCTCGACCCGCGGCTCATCCGATGCTGAGCAATCTTCCTCTATCAGCCACTCAACCGGAGGTAGTGACTCTGTGATCAGCCCAACCCCAGCTCCTCGTCGCCTCCATGAGATCACCTCTGACAATCACCGCCACGGCGAGATCCGCACCCTCAGATCGAGACGAGGCCAGAGTATCGCTCGCACCACCGATCAGGCTATTATGGAGAGCTGGCTCGAGAATGTCACTCCTCAGCCCAACGGCGAGTCCCTCGGTGCAAAGCTGAAGGCTACTCCCCCCCAGATGATGGATCTGTTCAAGGCTGGCGGTCTCGATCCCCAGACCTTGACTCCCGTCAACAATGACAATGGCGCTCATCACACCAGTGATCCGTTCGTGGGTCCCCGTGCTAGCTCAGCTCTCCAATTGGTGCAGACCAACCCGTTCGGTCCACCTGCTCATGCCAACTCCTGGGGTGGTGGGATGGTGATTCCTCCACCCACCATGAGCGCCGATCTGAGACGCCTCACCCTGGGGAGTTCTGGCAAGCCAGCTGTGGGCGACGCTCTTGAGCCTGCTACCCTACCGTTCGTCGAGTACTGCCGAAACGCCAGAGAGGATCGCTGGGGTGTCATCAAGATCAAGAACGTAAGTCTACCGCCAATCCAGATTGCTTAACCCAACATGAGAGCGGTGCTAACACTTGTCGATCGGGCAGATTCCCTACTCCGTGAACCGTGCTGAGGTCCTCGCCTTCCTTGGCCGCAACGCCCGCATCATCAGTGAGCAACAGTACGAGCCCGTCCACATCGTCATGGAGCGCGTCACCAGCAAGACCCTGGACTGCTACGTTGAGTTCACCACCTTGGGCGAGGCCGTCAACGCCATCAATCGCTTCGAGAGCAACCGCAACGGCGGTCGTGGAGGCCGTCTTGGTCACCGCCATGTCGATGTTGAGTTGTCCAGCCAGGAGCAGCTCATGTGTGATCTGTTCCCCAAGGCCAAGAACGTCACCTGGTACGGATCGAGACCCGTCATCAAGCCCCGAGTCCCTGGAGACGCCTACAACTCCGGCTTCCAGGGTTTCATCAGCAAGGAGGAGCTGGTCATGTTGATCAAGCATGTTGAGACGCCCCAGCGAGTAGGTTCTTCTCTTCTCGCGCCCCGATCTGATGCCCACCCCCCGCGGCGCAGAAACTGACAAGAAGCAGTCGCCGTTCTCCAAGGATTGCCCGCAGCGTCCATTCGAGTGTCTCATCAGCACCTTGCTCAAGGTACGTCGACGTCCAAGTCCACGTCCACGTCCCAGTCCATCCGCCATCATGTCCAGATACCGTAACTGCCGATATTCTGCTAACCGCCGGTAGTATCCATGGTACATGGTCGACTACATCACCATTGACGATCGCAGCCAGCTGTTCCAGACCACCCTCCAACTGATCGGCCTCCTTCAAGACCGCATCGCCAACCAGTTTGATGTTGTCCACCTGACCCCGATGCTGCTCAAGCGCGTCTGGCGTGCTGGGTTGAAGTGCCCCGGCTTCAGCCCCGCCATGAAGGATGACATTGCGTTCGTATGTGGTGTTGACGACCAGCTCGCTCACGAGATGGGTGTTCCTATGTACGCCCCCTACTGGAAGGACTTCTGGTGCATCGGCCCCAAGCCTGGAGCTCCCACGGATCTCATTATGGTAAAAAAAAATTTCCGTCTTCGTCCTCTTCTTCTCCTTCTTCTCCTTCTTCCTCCTCTTTCCAGAAACCAAGACCGAAAGCCGCAACCCGAGAGAAGAAACGAGGAAAAACAGAACTAACACGGGTCCAGTACTACGCCGCCCTCATGCGTGAGGCCATCGGCGACAAGCCCGAGATGACCCTCGCCCAAAAGGCCGCCAACGGCTTCATCCCCGCCCACCCCGACCTCTTCGGCCAGATCACCAGCCTGATGACCGACATGCCGCGCACCAAGCAGGACCTCAACAACTCGACGCTGGCCCAGATCGCCCTGATCGAGTGGGGAGTCATCGAGAGTGTCTTGCGTCGCGCCTTGACCCCGGCCCTGATGGCTGGACCTTCCGCCTGAGGTGGTTCCAGACCAGGTCTCCCTCTCTCTTCTCTTCTCTTCTCTTCCCTTCCCTTCTTTCCTCTCCACTCCATCGACAAACGGCAATGATGACCATTCCCAGTGTCTCATTTCACGTGTCGAAGAAGAAAGAGAAGATGAAGATCAAGATGATGATGAAGATGACCAAAAAAAACCCCAATTCCTTTTCTTTTCTGCCCCCTTTTTTACACCTTCCCCAATTGAACGATTTCCTGACGAAAGATTCTGCAAGAGAGAAAACAAGATGAAGAGACATGATGATGGTGTCACACACTACTACTCTATTCTCTCTTCAACTCCCAGCTTTTCTCGGCTTCTTTTTTTTAATTGGCGTACTTGACATGATGGAAAATTCCACACACACCTACACAATCGATCAATCAATCAATCAATGGATGGATGGGTTCGATTTTGATTTTGATTGATTCCTTGAATGATTGATTGATTGGGATGAATGGATGGAGGGATGGAGAAAACAAAACATATCTTATGAGTTTCCTGAATGTGATCATTTTGATCATGAGAATTGCAATTATTGATGGATGATGACAACCACGTCGTCACGTCGTCCTTTACGGACACTTACCGTGCAGGTAGCTAGCTAGCAAAAGCACACAAATGAAAAGGCTTATAAACCAAAACCAAACCAGACCAGAACTTCGTGTGGAGAACCTCTTTCGCCGAGAGAGATTTTCACTTGGGCAGGAACAGAAAGGAACCATGAAATTAGGGTAAGGTAGCTCGCTCGCTCGCTCGCTCACGTGTCCTGTCCTCCTACCGAAAGTACCTAAGGTGAGTAAACCAACTAAAAAACAACCCCACCACCATCTAATATCAAGCACCACCCCCATCATCATCCATCATCCAACATCCCAACATCCGACTCTCACTCTCACTCCCACAATTACGCTCTCACCAACCCCCCCGCCCCAAAAAGAGAAACCTGATGCTCTCCCCCATGACCCCCTCCAGCCCCAACCCCCCCTCTGCCCCTCCTCCCACCCTCCCCCTCCCAGCCTCCTTCCTCGCCAAAAAAGCCCTCATCCACGCCCAGCTCACGGCACCCTCACCCGGCGGCGACCTCTCGCCCAAGGGCTCGGTCGACGAGCAGATCCGGCCGCTGATCGACGAGGTCAACGCGCGGGCCGGGTGCGTGACGACGAGCAGCTGCGCGGGCCGGATCAGTGTGTTTCTCGAGGGGAGGAGGAAAGCTGTTGCTGCTGTTGCTGCGGCGGCGAGGACGGGGGCGGCGGCGGGAGGTGATGATGGTGATGGCTTGGGGAGGAATGGGGATGGGAATGAGGAGGGAGAGGGGAGAGGGAGAGGGAGAGGGAGAGGGAGAGGGGAGAGGGAGAGGGTGAGGGTGAGGGTGAGGGAGAGGGCGGTGATGAGGGTGAAGGTGTGAGAGAGAAAGCAGCCGGGGTAGGCGGCAAGGGCGCTGGCGGGCGCTGGCTGTTCGTCTCCCATGACCCGGTCGATGTCGCTGCCGGCTGCTCTGGGGAGGAGACGTGGGCGCGGAGGCTGGGGATGCAGCGTCTCCGCTCTGAGGGTCAGGAACAGGAACAGGAGCAGGAGCAGGAGCAGGAGGCATTGCAGAGGGCGATGGGGAACGTGACGGGGAAGACGAGACTGGTGCATTTCAAGTTTGAGCCTATGGTGCAGTCACCCCCCTCCCCCCCTGCCCCCATCCTTATCTTTCCTCCTGCATCATGTGTCACTTTCTATGGCGGCGCGAGGGTTCTGTTCTGATATTCATTTTCATATTGATACTGGTGTTGACTGGGTGGTAGATCCTCCATGTCCTCACTGCATCTCTCGCCCACGCCCAGACAGTCCTCTCCGCCGCCCTGCAAGCCGGCTTCCGTGAAAGCGGCGCCTTGAATCTGACCTGTTCTTCTTCTTCCTCTTCTTCTTCTGCCGCCGAGCCGCCGACGCCGATGGTCGGGATCCGCTCCATGGGCCTGGCTCTCGAATCGGTCGTGGGCTTTGAGAGTGCGGGCAGGGTGTACTGCATGGTGCCGGAGTGGCAGCTGCGGACCCTGCTTGAGATTTCGAACCAGAGGTTTGTGGAGAATGTGAAGAGGATTGAGCGGTTTAGAAGCCTTCTGAAGGAGATGTCGGGTGACGGTAGTAGGGAGGAGAAGAGGAAGGGGCAGGATGGGGCGGAGTGGGAGGACGCTGGGGCGAGGAGAGAGAGGAAGCGGAAGGAGGGGTTGGAAAGAGCTGAGGAGATGAGGAAAGCTGGGCAAGCGAAGAAAGATTCTGGGTTCGCCGGAGACGGGCTTGATCTTGGGATTCTAGATGGTAATACATGACGTTCTGAATTTTGAGCCGTATCGTATGTTTCGCCTCTCGCCTCTCGCATCCTGTAACATGAAACCCTCAGTTCAATCTAACTGCACCTCCCGGGGATAATACACGCCACACATCCGCGTTGATGCCGACAAATGTCTCCTAATTCGATATTCTACACCCCTCAGCCCTGACCCTCTCCATCCATTCTCGTCGCCTATCGCACAATCTTCTCCACCCACGTATCCTCCAAGCGCTTCACCTCCCTCCTAAACCCCTCCACCTCCTTCCAGCAATCCAGCGGCCGGCGATCATTCTCTCTCAAGCACCTCACGACCTCGCTCTTCGCCTTCTCCACCCCCTCGCCCACATCAGCCAGCTTCTTCCTCCCCTCAAGCTTCCTCTTCAGCTCCGCGACGTCATTCTGTACCGCCTCCCGGCCGAGCTGCCGGAGCTGGTCACCCTCGGATAGATTGGCGGCGGTGGCGGACTGCTGATTGGTAGTAGAGGCGTCTTCGGCGGCGGAGATCTTGGCCGAGAGCTCCTCAAAGTCCCTGGCGGCGCGGTCTTGCAGCTTCTTGAGCTCCTCCGCGACGCGCGACTGGATGTGCAGCTCGAGGGCTTTGGCGCGGGTGGAATCAGACTGTGGTGCGCTTGTCCGTCAGCACCCTCTGGCAACCGCGACTCCGAAAAAAAAAACAAGCAACACAAAGATCAGGGAGTGAGGCGTACGTACCTCCGAGCTCGATTGCAAGGAGTCTACCAGTCCCTGGGAGAAGCGGACGGGCGTCTCGCTGGCCAGTACGTCAGTGAGCGGTCTGGTGGGCGGTAGAAGGGGGGAACGACATACCTGGTCCATACTTGGGTCTTGGGAGTCGTCTCCGCTTGTTTGGAAGATGCGGAACCCATCCTGATATGATGTGATGTCAGTCGGGGGGGTTCAAGGGCTGAGAGGAGAGGCGGAATCATGCGTTCACCTGTGAGGCTCTGCGTGTGAGGCTCTGCCTGTGAGGCTCAAACTCGCGATTCCCGGCACGGTCACGTGTAGATTAGTTTAGGCCGGACATAGTTTTAACCGCAGGCTGCGCGCAGGGATCGGCCTCGTTGCTCGGGTGCGAAAAACTTACCCACTCCATAAATACATGTTGAAGGTAAGGTAATTTTGCAAGAGATCTTACCAGGGCTTATAACAATCAGCTAATAAGAATCCAGCCTTGCAAAGAACGTAGTATCTCTAGGTCCGTATTTAGTCTGTGCAATTGAGCTGACAGGGCTTGGAGCCATTCAGAAACCACCGCTCTACTATTTATGGGCCTAAACGGGGTCCGACATTTAAACGAAGTTGAAGGGGAAAAAAAAGAAGAATTTAGTAGTAGTTATAGAATACTGATAGAGTGAATTAGGCGTTCCGTATGCAAACGCAATCTATTCTCGGGCCTGACGCACAAACACCTCCCCCGGCGCCTCTGCCACACGCGGACATTTGCATCTACTAGTTGTAGATGTCGGTATCCAGATCTGGATGCGGGTGTTTGCGTTGGTTTAGTTTATTTATACCGGCATGCTGGTACTTACTTAGACTTAGAAGTCCGTTTTTCCGTGCATCCTGGGCTGAAACCTTCCCGCTGCCAAAACTAGATCGCAGGCGGCCCTAGTTTACAAGTCAAGACCTGACTAACGGGATACCTATCTGAAAGAAGAGCATTAGGCCTGTCATCCCATATCAAGCATCGATAGCTGCTCTTGGTGCATTTCCTCTTTGGACGGATGGAGTTCTGATGTCCCTTGCACTTTGTTTCACACGTTCGAAGTTATCTAAAGTGCCTGTGTTGGCGAATGCGTCCGAGGACGGTGACTGTCTGTACGCATAGCTGAGAACAAGGCAAGTGCAGACGAAAAAAGAAGAGTCGGGTTTGTTATGAGTTGATAATGAGATGATAAGATGATGCGATTGACTTTCATTATCTATCCTCCAGACGTACATCCCGGATCTAGACGGCGTCCCGTGATCTCCGCAAGTCACGCGCTCAGTCAGTGGTCGGTTGGTGCTGTTCACCTCTCACCTCTTACCTTTACCACCGCACCGCTTGGATCTCGAGATTCGCGATTCGCGATTCTCTCTCTCTCCATTCATTGTTCTCTCCTCTCTTGACAACGTCGCGCGGTTGATACTTGTCTATCACTGTCCTTTGCATCAATCTCATCCCGTCCGACCATCCTTTCATCCTTCCATCTTTCCATCCCTCCATAGGTAGCTGCCGGCCAGCATCGATCCGATCGCGATATCAATCCTCCCTCGCTTCACAACAGCATCACCAGCGACCGCCCCGTTTGGACCGTTACCACTTGACTTACAAGAACCCCCCCAGAAGAAATATCGTCTCAGGTCCTTGTACGGACGAACCACACACATCCCAGCACTTCTGTTACCAAGCCTTCCGAGCGTCTCGTAAAGTAAATCGCACTGCCCCACTCCGAGATACTCTATACTCATATAGATTACTGCCAATTTATCGACGCCCCAGAAAGACTGACAATTTGTCGTCGCCCCAAAACGGACGGCCAGCCATTCTTTAACTTGGGCGGCTGCTCCTCTTTTGTCCAAGCCTGCGTCCCGCGCTCACTCAGCCATACAACTACACAAGCTACACACTCTCGTTCCAACCCCGTGGTCCTGTAGCCCAGGCCTCACATCCGCTCATTCCAGTCCTGGAGACAGATCGAAAGTTCACTCGCTTCCAGCCTCTTCGATTCCAAGCGCGGAAAAGTCGGGATCACCGAACAGCATCCTTCCCTTAGACTGAACACGATCAACAAACGCGCCAACAGGTATCAGACAATGCCATTGTGCACCTTGTGGACAATACTCATTGTGTCTCGGTAGAAAACAATCAGACAAAGGACCTGATTCACATTTATAGATCGTCGATACTCGAAGGTTTGTGAACCTTTGCTGAGATTCGAATCACCCCCATCCACAATAGCAAGCAACCCTACAAGAGCAACATCAGCTGTTCGAGAACCTCCGCAACTTACACTACTCACAGGTCTACAAAGCCCTTTTTTATTCTTGCGATTCCGCCTCGCTCGAAGCACCAACTTTACAACTGTAACACCATGTCAGCAGACAACATGCTCGCTGAGAGGGCAGCGATAACAGCCAGTTACACCGGGCCTTCGGTGACTATTGCACCGTACGCGACCAGCTTCAGCGGGCCTATGGCTACCATTGCACCGTACGCATCGCTGCTCAATGGAGTGGATCAAACCACGAACGATAGGTACAAGAGAATCTCCTGGTTTAGCATCGGCATGGTGGGCGTGATCATCGTCACTATCAGAATTATTCAGAGGTTCCACGCCTACATTCGACTCGTCTCGACCATGGGAAGAGCCGTTCAGGCATACTGGTCTACGCACACGACACCGGCGTTCTGGAAATTCAAGAAGTATGTGCTATACGCGCCACTGTGGAACAAGCGTCACAACCGAGAGTTCAGATTGTCCTCGGCAATGAATATGGGCACACTACCGTCCAGGTTCCACACGATCTTAATCGTCCTCTATATTGCCAGCAACGTCTTTTACGCCTTCGATATCACCTGGGAAGACCCGAACAAATACAGACGGGCTGCCGAGATGAGAGGAAGAACCGGTATCATCGCGGTGACGAACATGATCCCGTTGGTCATCTTTGCCGCTCGCAACAACCCTCTGATTTCCTGGTTACAGATCAGTTTTGATACTTACAACTTGATGCACCGATGGCTGGGAAGGATCGTTGTTGCCGCGAGCCTTATCCATACCACCTGCTGGGTATACGTCAAACACGCCGCAACAGGATGGTCTGGAATCTTCGATCAAATTTCAGTAGACCCCTTCGCTGGGTGGGGAGCGGTCGGCACTGTTTGCATGATCGTGATCTTCACCACTGCATTTTCGCCAGTTCGGCACGCATTCTACGAGACCTTTCTGGACATCCACATCGTCCTAGCCGCAGTCTGCATGGTCGCTACTTGGATCCACTGCAAATTGGCCAAGATTCCGGCGGTGCATTATGTCACGGCTCTTGCTACCCTCTGGGTATGCGAACGTATCTACCGATTCGTCATCATCATATCGGTCAACCGCAAACAGGGATGGACTCACGCCACCGTTGAGGCTCTGCCAGGAGAGGCTTGCAGAGTCACAATGCACCTCCCCAAAAAGGTCCGTATCAATCCAGGAAGCCACGCCTACCTTAGATTCGCCGCGATCAATCCTTTGGAATGCCATCCTTTCTCTGTCGCCTGGACTGAGCACAACCCCAACAATCTCTCGCTTCCGGTCACGGAGAAGAAGGACGATGAAGTCAAGCTTCGCGATTGTGACATGGCTACAGATGTCTCCTTCGTCATTGGCGCCCAGAGCGGATTCACGAGAAAGCTCTTCAACAAAGCCAGCGAATCCTCCCCGCGCGTTTTGAAACTCAAGGCGGTCCTGGAGGGACCCTACGGAGGGCACCACTCTCTGGACTCCTACGGCCACTGCGTGCTTTTCGCCGGTGCCACTGGAATCACCCATCAGTTGAGCTACGTGAAACACCTGATTGACGGCTTCCACAACGAGACGATCGCAACGAGAAAGATTACCCTGGTCTGGATCGTGCGCGACTCGGAACATCTCGAATGGGTCCGCCCCTGGATGGACCAGATTCTCCGTCTTGACGGACGCCGTGACTGTCTCCAAATCAAGCTATACGTCACAAGACCGAAAAATCCTCGCGAGATCATCTCCCCCTCAGCGACGGTCCAGATGTATCCCGGCCGCCCTAATATCAAGCTCATCATGGAGGGTGAAGTTAAGGTTCAATGCGGTGCCATGGTTGTCACTGTCTGTGGACCCGGTGGTCTGGCCGACAACGTGAGAGAAGCGGTGCGGGAGGTCCAAGAAGACGGCGTGGTGGATTTCATCGAGGAGTCCTTCACCTGGTAGAAGAGAAAGCCCCCGATATTCAAAGCGCCCAGAGCTTTTCCGGGGCCAATTTGCGCCTGCAAGTCTTCGCTTCCTCTAATTAATCAATGGACTCCTGTCGAGCAACCCTTACCTCGGCCTTTGGATTTCTAGTCACGCTTGGAAGCGAAGCTACGAGTACACGATAGACTGCGCCTTGAGTCGCTGCTGTATTGGATGAATGAGCACAAGAGCAGCGACCAGCGCACCTTTTGCAAATGGACGGAAGGCACGATTTTTCCTGCACCTAATTTTCCTATTTTCTTCGACCACGGATCAAACATGGAGCAGCGACCCGCTGGACATTCAATCTCTGAAACGTGTATTTTTGTCTAAAATCTTGTATAATAAGAAATACGTCCCGTTGCACGGACAGAAGAGAGATATGGGGAGGGCGGGGGCGGGAGGGGGGAGAGAGAAAGGGAGGGAGAGATGAGAGATGGATGAGCGGAGATGGCTGGGATAGTTGTGATAGGATAGAAGCTGAACTCCGTCTCGCTTCCTTGATAAATAACACCTTTGTTTCCTGTTGAGTGATGTGATATGATGCTATCAACGGTAAAGCGAAGTTCAGATATGGAAATATCCAGCTTGTTTCAGTGGGATTCACATTCATCATGCCCATTGTCTGACCAACCATCGAAAATGACCGGATTAGAAAAAAAGGCATTGACATGGCGTAATAAATAACACGGCTTTTTTTTAATTGGTTACTTTACATCCTTCTGGATTGGTTACTTTACTTCGTGAGTCAATGTAGGAATTTCTGCGTTTATTTGTGGGCAGGGGGTGGCTTTGACCAGTAAAGACTACCGATATACCGGTAGGTTACCTAGGTAGGCGTCAATGGATTCCGCCACTAGCTCCAGTAGCTTTCGATAGATGGTACCTTTTCAGGCACTTGGGGTGGTGGGGGTGGTGACTCGAATTTCGCTAATCTGCCACCCAAAAATTGTGCCTGCTGCCCGTTCTTGTATCACCGCTACTGGGGACTTCCTCGTTGTCTGATATATTTTGAGAACAACATACTCGTATTCCGAGACCAGGAGGTTGAATCGCAGCACTGCACCGAAAAAATTCGTCTGATCTTCTTCGTCCGTTGCTTTCGTCGACGTCGACCCCGCTATAGGCAACATGCCGATGTAAGAACCTTTTTTTTTTTTCGCAGCCTCGTCGTCTTCTTTTCTCTATACGCTTTTGGCCGGATCGAAAGCTAATTGGCGTCACGGTAGGCTCAAAGATCCCTCCAAGAAATATAAGAGGTTTCCCCCTCTTCGACTCACCGATAGACAATGGCCGAACAAAACCATCGACAAACCCCCGCGCTGGCTCTCGACCGATTTGCGCGATGGCAACCAGAGCTTAGTCGATCCCATGGTGCGTGCCTGATCCCCTTCCCCCATTGACCATTGAAATCTCTAGACACTGGCAGGCCCTAATATTCGGTGCACTATAGGACGGCGAGCAAAAATGGCGATACTTCAAAATGCTGGTGGAGCTGGGCTACAAAGAAATCGAGGTTTCCTTTCCCTCCGCCTCGCAGACTGACTTCGACTTCACACGCCGCCTCGTCGAGACGCCCGGTGCCGTCCCCGATGATGTCTGGCTCCAGGTCTTGTCTCCGTGCCGAGAGGAGCTCATCAAGCGTACCGTCGAGTCCCTCAAGGGTGCCAAGAAGGCACTCCTCCATATCTACCTTGCGACGAGCGAGTGCTTCCAGCGGATCGTGTTTGGGATGTCAGAAGACGAAGGTCTGGCTTTGGCAGTCAAGTGCACGGAGTACGCGCGGTCCATTACCAAGGATGATCCAGAGCAGGCTGGGACGGAGTGGGCCTTCGAGTTCTCGCCGGAGACGTTCTCGGATTCCAGACCGGAGTACGTGATTAAGGTCTGCGAGGCTGTCAAGCAAGCCTGGGGCCCCTCGAAAGAGGTGCCGATCATATTCAACCTGCCCGCGACGGTGGAGATGTCGACGCCGAATGTGTATGCCGATCAGATTGAGTATTTCTGCAGGAATATGACAGAGAGGGAGAAGTTCTGTGTTAGCTTGCATCCGCACAACGACCGTGGGTGTGCCGTCGCGGCTGCGGAGTTGGCGCAGATGGCGGGCGCGGACAGAGTTGAGGGGTGTCTTTTTGGGAACGGAGAAAGGACGGGAAATGTTGATCTTGTTACATTGGCCTTGAACCTCTACACGCAGGGTATCCATCCCAATATTGATTTCTCGGATCTCAACCGGGTTATTGATGTTGTGGAAGTCAGCAACAAGATCCCGGTGCATCCTCGAGCTCCGTATGGTGGATCTCTTGTTGTGTGTGCTTTCAGCGGCTCTCACCAAGATGCTATCAAAAAGGGCTTCCAGATCCGGAAGAAGGAAGGTGCGGATGATGGAAGCCATTGGCAGGTGCCATACCTCCCACTAGATCCTCAGGATATCGGCAGGACATACGAAGCTGTCATCCGTGTCAACTCTCAGAGTGGCAAGGGAGGAGCAGCCTGGATCATCCTCCGCAACCTCGAGCTTGATCTCCCTCGTGGTCTACAAATCTCCTTCAGCAAAATCGTACAGAAACACGCAGACAGAGTCGGCAGAGAACTTCTCGCCAACGAGATCCAAGACTTGTTCGAGCAGACATACTTCCTCAAGCAAAACCCCAGATTTAAACTTGTGGACTATAGCATTACGACAGACCGATCAGCTTCTCCCGCTCCTCCGGTGCCGGGAAAGACGCAAGACACCACCTCGTCGAAGAGACGCTTCGAAGGTGTGATTTCCGTCGACGGCCAGGAACATCAGTTACAGGGGTCCGGAAATGGGCCCATCTCCAGCTTAGCTAACGCTCTCTCTTCTGTCGGTATTGATCTCGACGTTGCGGATTACAAGGAGCATGCTATTGGGGGCGGGAAAGATGTCAAGGCTGCCAGTTACATTGAGTGTACGGCCGCTGGGTCGAATCAGAAAGTTTGGGGCGTAGGTGTTGATGAGGATGTGGTGCAGAGTTCTTTGATTGCTCTTTTGAGCGCCGCTAGCAACGTGAGTTTCGGGTTCAAGATATATGCATAGATCCGCCTGCTAACTGGGCGTAGTTCGTAACATCAAGACCAAACACGCCTCTCTTGTTGAAAGGGAAGCACGGGCCGACCTTGGGCCAAGACCTCGACATCGACATCAATGGCAGCCCGAGGGGCAGGGAGAACCAAGCTCTCGCGATACCCAAGCCCAACGGCACTCCACGAAGCGGATCGGACGCAGTGCATCTTCTGGAAGAAAAGGTGAACGGACTTGTGAAGTGAGCATGGGGAGCTGGCGATCCTTGGTTTCTGGAGTTCTGATGGAGGGGTAAATTCCGCCCGCTTCCATCTGCGATTTGGGCGCATTGGGATCGCATCTGCACAAGTTCAAAAAGTGAATAGGGATGCGGATGCAATATATTGATTGCCATGACAACTACTTAGTTGTATTTTCCATAATTCCGTAGAGTCTATTATTACCTAAGAATTGTCCTTATTGAACATCCCCTTTCCCAGTAGGAAATTTTTCGTGGGGATGCCGCTAGTGCGTAAGCGGCTTAGATCCAAAACCACGGTGATGAAGGGAAATGAATGTGAAAGCTGCAGATGAGAGACTTCGTTGCCATAAAATTCAGTGTTGGATTCTCTACTCTACTTAATCATCTTCCTACCCTCTGCCCTAATCCCCTCTACTCTCAGCACTTCTTTGCCCAATTTGGTTGCAGCCCATTGAATTGCCCCTCGAACGGGATCTCACCGGCAGCACCTTCTAGAAGCACAGTGCGGCAGACGTACGGACTTTCACCAAAACTCGCCCTCAAAACAAACAATCCAATCCACCTAGATCTCCATCTCCATTTTCCGACCACCCACCACCGTCTCGCTCCCTCGAGACTTTGGCCGGAGATCAAACCGAAGTGACAGCTCATCTTCCCTTGAGCCCCCCCTCCCCCTCCATACCCTTTGTCCACACCGACGCTCTGCACACACAGCTCTCCGGCTGTGAACCGCCATCATGGACGTCAACTCTGTGCTCCTGAACACCTTCTCCACAGGTCAGTCCACCCCCCGATCCTGCTCGCCGTGCTGAAGGCCGAGATGCTAACTCGCCCAAAGATGCCTCTATTCGAGGCACTGCTGAAGCACAACTCACACAAGCTGCTGAGACCAATTTTGTGAGTTCTCCCTTGAGCGACAGAAGCTCCATGCACGCGCAATAGAACGCCTGCTAACCCGCCTCGCCCTCCAGTCCGGATACCTTACCACCCTCGTCCAGGAGCTCGCAAACGAGGAAGCCCAAGGGCCCGTTCGAGCCGCGGCTGGTATTGCGCTCAAGAACGCTTTTACCGCACGCGAATATGCTAGAATATCCGAGCTCGCAGAGAAATGGATCCAACTGGACCCTGATACGAAGACGCGCGTGAAGGAGCTGACGCTGCAAGCGCTCGCCTCGAACAACGCACAGGCTGGTGCTGCGAGTGCGCAAGTCGTCGCGTCGATAGCCGCTATTGAGCTGCCTCGCAATCAATGGCCGGAGCTGATGTCCACTTTGGTACGCAATGTTGGCGAGGGCAACGACTATCTCAAGCAGACTTCCTTGACGACTATCGGCTTCATCTGCGAGAGTCAAGATGGAGATCTACGCTCCAGTCTCGTGCAGCACTCTAATGCTATCCTCACTGCTGTTGTGCAAGGTGCTCGCAAGGAGGAGCCAAACCCAGAAGTCCGTCTGGCTGCCATTTACGCGCTTGGTGACTCGCTGGAGTTCGTGGACAGCAATTTCAAAAATGAAGGCGAGCGAAACTATATTATGCAAGTTATCTGCGAGGCCACACAGGCTCCGGACTCGCGGATACAGCAGGGTGCTTTTGGATGCCTCAATAGGATTATGGCTCTGTACTACGAGCTGATGCGGTTTTACATGGAGAAGGCTCTCTTTGGTCTCACAATTATGGGCATGAAGAGCGATGAGGAGGACGTTGCCAAGCTTGCGGTTGAGTTCTGGAGCACTGTTGCTGAGGAGGAAATTTCCCTCGAGGATGATAACGCACAAGTAAGATTTCGAGGCCCCTCCGTTCGGATAAGATGCTGATAGTCGATCAGATTGAGAATGTCGACCAGATGCGGGAGATTTTCCACTTTTGCGCTGTTGCGACAAGCGAGGTTGTTCCGGTCTTACTCCAGCTTTTGACGAAGCAAGACGAGGATGCGGCTGATGATGAATACAACATCTCGAGAGCTGCGTATCAATGTCTTCAGCTTTATGCTCAGGCTGTTGGTGGTACAGTGGTTCAGCCAGTGCTTTCATTTGTTGAGACCAACCTGCGACACGAAGATTGGCACCACAGAGATGCTGCTGTCTCCGCGTTTGGCGCCATTATGGAAGGTCCGGAAGAGAAGGTCATTGCGCCAATCGTAAAGCAGGCTCTTCCAGTTGTTATTAAGATGATGGATGACCCTGTCATTCACGTCAAGGATTCTACGGCTTACGCTCTTGGACGTATCACCGAGGCATGCTCAGAGGCCATCGACCCGGAGCTGCACCTTCCTGTACTGATCAAGTCTCTCTTCGATGGCTTGGTCAGCAGTCCCAAGATGGCTGGATCTTGCTGCTGGGCTTTGATGAACCTTGCCGAGCGTTTCTCTGGTGACATCGGCTGCCAACAAAACCCACTCACCGTCCACTTCAACGAGAGCATCACACACCTTCTGCAAGTTACCGAGCGACCGGACGCGGATAATCAACTGCGAACTGCTGCCTACGAGGTACTGAACACGTTCGTCCAAAATGCGGCCAACGACAGCTTGTCAGCTGTTGCCTCCCTCTCTGAGATCATTCTCAAGCGGTTGGAGGGCACAATCCCCCTTCAATCACAAGTTGTTAGCGTTGAGGACAAGATTACTCTCGAGGAGATGCAAACCAGCTTGTGCTCTGTCCTTCTGGCCATCATCCAACGTCTCGAGAAAGAAGTTGCACCCCAAGGCGACCGTATCATGGCCGTTCTCCTCCAAATTCTCGGAACTGCCGGTCCAAAGTCGAGCGTACCCGACGCGGTATTCGCCACTGTTAGCAGTTTGGCCAACGCTTTAGAGGATGATTTTGCCAAGTACATGGAACACTTCTCGCCCTACCTGTACAATGCCCTTGGCAACCAGGAGGAGCCTGCTCTCTGCTCGATGGCTATTGGCCTTGTCAGCGATATCACTCGGTCGATGGGCCCTCCCTGTCAGCCATATTGCGATACATTTATGAACTATCTATTGAACAATCTGAGAGTAAGCTCTTGCGACATTGAAAGCCGTGCTTTTCGTTCAAGTCATGGACATCCACTAACCCGTCAACAGAGTACAGCGCTTGCCAACCAGTTCAAACCCGCGATCCTTCAGTGCTTTGGAGATATCGCAGGAGCTATCGGAGGCCATTTTGAGACCTACCTCTCTGTTGTTGCGCAGGTTCTTCAGCAAGCCGCCGGAGTGCAAGCCAGTCCCGACGGATCGTATGAGATGTTCGACTATGTCATTTCGCTGCGTGAGGGTATCATGGATGCCTGGGGCGGAATCATTGGCTCCATGAAGTCTGGTGAAAAGAGTATGTCACGTGACGACTTTGGTCTGGGACATTCGCTAATATGCTATAGCCGCATTGCTCCAACCATACGTCGAGTCGATCTTCCATCTTCTCAACATTGTGTACTTGGACTCGAACAGAAGCGATGCGCTTATGAGATCTTCCATGGGTGTTATTGGGTGAGCCTACTGAACGACCACGAAGTTTTACGTACTTGCTAACAAGACTAGTGATCTCGCTGATGCTTTCCCTGAGGGCGAATTCTCCAACTTCTACCGCGCCGAGTGGCTCACTCAAATGATCAAGGAGACCCGCCAAAACCGCGACTTCCAAGCCAGAACAATGGACACAGCTCGCTGGGCTCGGGAACAAGTGAAGCGTCAAATCGGAGGCTCCCAAGGTATCCAACAGACCTGATCTTCTCTCTCTTGAGAAAGATGACGCTTCCAAGATGACCGCTTGTAATACCCTAGGATCAGCGCAACCACATCAAGCGGGATCCTCAAGTGGTCTTGGTCTCCTTCGATTCCTCCCACATTCCAATTTTTCTTCCTTTGTGTAACGACCGGTCAGCAGAGGGTTCTTGTCCTCGATCGAGTCAGCTACGGCGTTCTTTGTTTACCATCCCCTCCCCCCAAGCAACCCCCCGAAACATACTCAACGCACGCGAACAATCACGATTGTTATCGCACCTCCCTCGGATTCCGGCGAAGTCGACGCGAATCGCATCAACGAGCGAGGCAGATCTGACGATGATTTCGCAACATATTTTTTCGGCACAGCACCAATCAACACTTAACAGCACAGCACAGATAACTTGTACAAGAGCTCCCCTTTTTGAGAACCGCGCCACTACACATTACCAATACCCCTTCCATCAACGCACAATGTTTCGTTTCGACCGAAGGGCTAGAAAGGGATACACCGGCGGAGATTTACCCGGCACGACACCCGATGAGGAGCGGAGGTGAGAATGAGAGGACGGAATAAGCCCCCGACGTCGTCACGAAACAATCTTGTATCGCCCAACTCTCGATGAACGAGGTTGGCGCCTCTCCCCGGGAACCATGCTCAGGGATGAAATTTTTCACGGACAGCTATGTATGTACGCAAGGCGCACTTTGATCGACCGACTGGGTCCGAAGGCGCTGGGTGGTTGGCTGGCTTTTTGGATGGGGGCGTGCCGGATGGAGCTGAATAGACTCTGGCGTCGAGAATGGTGGGGTTGAGGGGTCAGGGATCGAGCACGGTGGAGGAGGAGAAATGTTAGGGTCTGATGGGGTACTGTTTGTGTCAAGTGACGCATCGATTCAGTTTCTCTGGATGGCCTGTATCTAGGAGAGTATTGGGGAAAGTCGGTGGATGATGATGATGATGATGATGAGAGATAGCATGAGCGATGAATGCGATGCGATGTGCTTTCCCCCACCAAGTCGTCTTTGGTACTTTGAGTGCTTGCATAGGCATAGGTACGTGCGTACCTAGGTAGTAAGTGTATCGTGGGACCGCGGCCACAGTCATTTCTCTTGATGGAAATAGTTATGAGGTACAACGTGAGAGCGAGAGGGAGAGAGGGGTGGCTACAGAGCGGGAGAGAGAGATTGTCATTTTCATTTTCATTTTCATTTTCATCTCTTCTCCCTCCCTCCCTCTCCCCCCCTCCCCCTCTCCCCCTCTCCCTCTCCCTCTCACTCTCTCTCTTCGCTAGCTTCGCAAGCTAGATTGTCACCCAGCCCATGTAGATCCACCTACCTATCCCAAGCGGAGCAGTTCCCTGACATCCATCCATCCATCTATCTATCTATCTATCTATCTATCTATCCATCCATCTGCCCGGCCTGCCCTTCAGCGATTCTTCGTGGGGGGGGGGGGGAGAAGAACGAAATGAAAAACGGAAAACGAAAAATGAAAAACAGAGAGAGGGAGGGAGAAGAGAGGGAGGGAGGGAGGGGGCGTATCGATTCCCTATCTGGTTTACAGACAGAACAGACGCAAGGAGTCAGTCGGAGAACGACAGGGGATTGGATACCGGTACTTGTCATTTGGTATCGATCGGCCTTCGGCCAAATCACACACACATCCACCTTCCTGATAAACGGCCCAGCACGTGTTTCCATGAAAGTATTATTCGATATGCAGTTCTAGATCCATCATTGGGGTATTTCCTTCCGCAGTACGCCGCTACCTTGTGTCTTCATTCGTCCATTTCCCGGTTGGCCTCGCAACCTGAACGCCCTCCTACCATGCCAACAGTAGTTGTTGCCTCCGACGCGGTCTCCTGCCACCTACGAGGACCATATAACGCCACGCTCCATGTTGAGTATCATGTTCCAAGCACGCTAAACCATTTATCGTCAGCCTGGAAGATAGCAATGTTCCGGCCGTGTCCAAATCTCTCCGTCTTCTAGAAGAGCTGGACAGTAACATTATCCGCATAGTAATCCTTTGTCGCCTCCCGTGTCTCAGCATCGTCGATGATGTCCTCTTCCTGCTCGGTGAGTCTGTTCAATTGCGCCGTCAAGCTGTTTATCATGACCGTAAAATCTGCATTATGGATTTCTCGCCAAGCGTTGTGCTTGCACTTCTTCGGGGCTTTCAAGCAGACGTTCTCAAGTGCGTCGGACATCTTGAGTGCCTCGGGCAGATTCTGGCCAGGGTAAGGGATATGCGCAACCACGTCTTTCGTCTCAACTGAACGTGGGCCGAGGATGCCGGTTTTAAAGGCATTTTGTCCTTCGGGTGATTCAAACCATTCCTTGAACTCGGCTTCGTTCATAGCTAGACGGTTATCGTAGCCACAGATGGCCTTGAGCTCCACGGCCGGGTGCTTTACAGCGTGCTTGGACCGCTCATCGATCATGATGAGAAGCTTCTTTTGGTTCCTGTAGCCCTGGATCTGGGCCTCGATCACGTGCTTCTTCTGCTGGATATCGTCAATAGTCGATTTCTCCTCAGCTGTAATGTAATCGAGCCCAACAGGTCGATCTACAATGCTCGTGTCAGCTGACTGCCATCGATAGGGACCTGCTGCAAAGCTTACCTGGGTTGGTGCCCTCCGCAACCACCAGTCTTGGCTTCTTCCCCAGCGCATGAAGCTCTTCAACGGTTGAAATTGATGTCAGTAGATCCGCAACTTCCTGGCGGTTCAAGGCGCTTCCCATGGACGGGGCGTCGTCACCACGGAGCTTCTTGTAACACCACTCGAAGAATGCGTTCAAGTGCTCTTCACTACAATACTTGCTAGTCTCGTTCACACGAGCCGCCTTCCTACAGCCATTGTCGCAGTTGCTGTAACGGCAAATGCGCTTCCAGGTAGTCTTCAGTTCATTGGTCGTACATTTCGGGCAGATGTAGCGGTCCAAGAGCTCTCTGGCATCTTCCTCGTCGATATTGACGCATGAGCAGTGGTACCAATCCTCGCAGCCTCCATCGCAGAACACCATCATGCGGTGATCATCTGGTCCCCGGCAGATGCAGTATTCTCCGCCATCGTTGCTTTCGGGACTACCAAGTGGGGAGGCACTGGCGCGACGAGAGCTTGCGGGTGTGTGAGTCTTATCAGCTGCAAGATGTTAGAAAATCTCAACGGCAAGGCTCGAATGCAACGTACCATCTGTCAGGGGTTTCTTAGGCGGACCGGTTCTCCTGTTCGGAGCAGCTGTGGCCTTTTTCTTCGGAGCTGGCTTCTCAGCCTTGGGTGGAGCAGGGCTACCCGTCCGTGGGGCAGGACTGCTATTTTGCTGGATGGCAGGCGGAGCAGGTGTACTCTGCTGAGAAGAGGGTGTGTCTGAGGGTGTTTTTCTCTTGCGACCTTCGCTCTTTATCTTCTCCGATATGCTCATTGGTACCGCACCTGGCGCCAACTCCCAAGATTCCTCCGGCGTCTCTTTCTTTATGCCAATCGACTCAGACTTTACAGCTGTGGCTCTTGGCTTTGGTGGCGCCTTGGGAACGTACGGCTGGCCACCTGCCAGAGCAGCAGCCACGGCTCGAGCATGCTTTTCCTTGTTCTCCGCGAGCATGCGAATCGCAAGTATACGGGTTTCGCCCGACTCGCGGTACTTTCTTGACTCGTTGGCGGATTTGTGATGTTTGTTATACATGCGAGAGTCTGCTGCTGTGTAAATCCTGTTCCACGTAAGGTCGTCCTCGCCGTCCGGAGTAGGTTTGGCCTGCGGGTACTTGTATTTGAAGGTGGGCGAGTTGTTGGAATGCACGAAAAATGGGTGCTCGGGGTCGGTAATCCCCAAGCTTCCAACGGGTTCATTTGTGTCCGCAGTACCAGTATTGAACACAAAAGACTGGGGTTTCGAGGAGGAGGGCGCAGATTCGGGGCTTGGTTGGCGACTCATCTCGGCTGATTTGCTAGCCTGGAAGAAGAAGCAATGTTAGCAATGTATGTATCTATGTACAGAAGTCGAAGTGAAAGCAACAGGAGGCTCCAGGTAGCTTAAAGCAATAAACCTGGAGCTCAGTTGACTGGGGCAATCGCCGTACATAACAGTTGGAGAGGGGGCTTTACATCGTTTGAGTCGACCACTGGGGGAGCATCGGCCATTTCGTGGTCTCTATCCCCAGAATCCATTGTGTCTCTGAGGAAAAAAGTGGTAGTGGTGGTGTTGTTGTTGTCGTATTGGATCCGAGGCGAGGTTAAATATCACTGCAGCATAAAACTTACCCAAGGAGCCGGAATGCCAAGACGCTCATGGGTGAATATCATCAGCCTTGCCGAGCCTTGTTGGACTTGAATACACTTATGTCTAGGTAGCAGTTGGCCTCTACCAGCAGATTAATGCCTCAGCCCGGCGAGTTGGTATATCCAGATCGATGACCAGGAATGATATCACTACTCTAGATATTGGGGCATACCCTTTGTGGTGATAGTAGTCGATGCGACACAGGAAACTCTCTGGCCGGGACCGCAAGAACAAAAATATACTCCCACGTTGTAGCCATCCAGAAGAAAAGATACCATGCTCCAGAGTCCCTTTGGTTTCGTGCAAAACTGGAACAACGAATGTATTGTGAAAATATTTCAAGCCATGTGCTGGTGTGCAGCCCGGCATAGCCACCAGGAAGAGTAAGCCATATTGATATTAGAAGACAAGAGCCGAACCAAGACGACATTATGCGTCGCTGAGGCAGGAAGACCTCCCAGAATATACCTTTCCAAAATCCAAACAAAATCTTACAGCCCCTCCTCCACCCCCCCACAACATTCCAAGACGCTTTTGGGGTATTGACGCTAGACGAATACAAGTCCAAAAAAAAAAACCAACATGAATAGAACGCCAACATCAGTGAGCCGCGAGGCTGATCCATCTTCCCAGCCGCGAGGCCTATTCTCTTGCTTCCATGACCGAGGATGCCTGGTATTTCCAAACTTCCTTCGTACTGTTCCTTTAGCCGTAGGACCGATCCTGTCTTCGCCATGTCTCCTCCATTACGGAGGCATTCATATTATCTCCTGTGCCGCCTACTCGAGCTTCCGGAGTTCTCTCCGTGGTGACGAGACCTATGTCGGCCACCAGAACCACTCTGTTCCATCTGCTGCTCCATCTGTTCCACCCTCTGCCGATAGCCCCTCACAATATCTCTGATGTGTTTTATCCTGTCAAAGTCCACCTCTAACTCGTCGATCTGCCTCAAGATGTCGTGGAACCGGGCAATCTCCGAGTCCGCAACGGCGATCGCATTGCCAGCCCTGTCGTACTGTTGCTGAGCCACCATCTGCGACTGCTCAGACAGGTAGTCGAGTCGTTCTTGGATCTGTTGCATCAATCGATCAAAATGCCGGCCGAGAGCGGTAAGGGAGGTGCCGTCGAGCAGTAGAAGTCCCTGTGAGGATGCGCGGGAGGCTGCACGGGAGGATCCCCCAGATGCGGCAGCTTGCTGTTGGTGATGCCGCAGGAGAGTAATCTCATCGTTGGTCAGACCGAGCTGGGTATCGGGAACTGCATTGGCTGTTGATGCCATAACGGCTTCTTCTTCTCGGTGCGTGTGCGTGGGAGTCTCGGGGACAGAGCAATAGATGAGGGCAACGACACCCTCACAGAGAGCAGCTGCGAAGGTGCTGTAAACCTCATGGTAATTGCGATGCTGGGTGGACCATTGCAGAAGCTCCCCGAGTTGAGGTCAAAGGATGTAGACCGTGAGGTGCGATCGAAGCCGAGGGTCGGTATTACACAGGCTGGATATTTCTTTTTTGCTTTGATCAAAATGGTGACCGCCTGGATCAGCTGAGACCTGGTCCGTCCAGATTCTAGGTCCTAGGTCCGTGGCTCGAGTCTGCGGGGGAGATCCAGGGCGTATATGGATATATATATCCCCAGATCAAGGAGGCTAAGACGCCCTCCTTCCTGACACATCCAGATGCGATGCGATAGATAGGTGAACCGATGATGGGCGTCGCGCGAGGCGGCTTCATAGGTTGGATAGACGCTCGTTGCGAGGAAGATCCCTCGGCCGTTTCGATTTTCTGGGTTTCTCGGCCGGGGCAATCTTGATCTCGAATCCGGGGAGGCGCTAACTTAGCGCCAATTAGGTTTCGGAAAAGGCCATGATCCTCGTGACCATAGATCACGTGATAGTCACCATGACCGTAATCGTACAGCTCTCCCGCGCAAGACGGATAAGCAAGCATATGTTACAAAAACTCAAGGACTACAGAACAGCGACGGCAACGTTAGCCTTTGACCGCCCAACGTGGATACTTTCGTACTGTATGTAGCATGTGACCTGCCGACGGAAGTAGTGGCTTCGCATCTTCGCATCCGGCCGGGCAGGTTGGGCGGATACTGAGTCGGTACCAACTATTTAAATGAAGATCGTATTAAGCTGTTCAGGTGTTTACTTCTGGCGACTACAGTATACAGTGTATAAAATTCTCACCCACCTGAACGGCCGCCATCCAGTCCTCTAGCACGGTATTCGACAGCTCGATTCGCACTAGGAAGGATGGTTTCCCTGGAGCTACCTATTTTCCTTCCCGATGATGAAAAGCATCCGGTAACAGAGTGATATCTCAGCGAAATTTGAAAACGTTCGATTCTGGTGCATCAAACTTGCAAGTCGCCCAATCTGGGCCGTCTCGGTTCCACAATCACTTTGCTGTGCAATGTGGGTTTCCCAAGTTAGGCATCTTCGCAGCTGCGATTGAGATCTCCATTCGCCGACCTCGATGTCGGATCCCGCCGGGCGTTATGTGGTAGGCTATACCGTTCCTCCACATGACCCGAGTACTAACATGTCCTGAGAAGCTCAACGATCCAACAAGCATGGGTTTTTCGACATCGATACGGTCCCTCGCTCGATCAGTGACTGGGTCCACCACACCCCTTTTGTTCTATTCATCTTCGAGCTCTGCGAGACGGAGCTTGAGGGAAGCTGAAGTTAGAATTGACTCTGCCCCATGGACAGGAAGGAGTACCGTACTTAGCTCATGATATGTGCACCGGTCCTCACCATGTACTAATCTTTCAAGAGCAGATCGCATATAAAATGAACACGGTCGGCTCGGTCAGCTATACCCAATTCGAATCCTGGATTGATGGGCATACCGGTACGTTCATGGTCGTCAGCATTGACTTATGCCTATCGAGAGTTTCCGTAGCTGCCGCAGCTCCTATCAACATTAGAGCTGTAAGTAGTCCCTCCAAGGTAATGGCCTCAATTCAGCTCATCTCGATTCCCAAGCCAGAGATGCGCCATCGTCGTCAAAGGGAAGGCCCTTTTAGAACATGGCACACAGCACACACTTCCGGGTCCATGCTCGTGCTTGCGAGAATGCTGCTGCCATTTCAACTTATTAGGGATAATCCGATACAGCCAAGTATCCACAGTAAATCTATAGACCCGTCCCGGCAGTAGAAGCACAACACAGACTGCCTCGAACTGTTATCCGACAAGTTTATTCACAAGGTCTCTCTCTTAACAACATAGCGAACATCGTTAGCAATCTCACCCACGCCAATAACTATCAAAACGTCTCCTTACAACGCCAACCAGCCGCTAACGGTCCAAACCCAGCTAGCTACCTAGCTATGCACAAGTGACTTGACCTGACTTACTCACACACACAAGGAAGCCATGTAGATCGATCAGCTGGCGGATACCAACCAACATACCAACCAACCAACCAACCAGCGCAGAAGTCACTCAGTGACACGAACGACGATAAAACGGCATCGATCTTTCCCTCCGAAACAGGTCCAATCCTCCTAGAATACAAGAGTATGGAACAATACAAGAATATGTATGGAATGAGTGAACCCTATCTTCAAGCAGACCGACTCCATCTGCCCAATTTGACTATTCATCTCTTCACCTAATGCTCCACATCTCACCCATCTTTACAGCCACCGCCAATTCTCAAGACAGCAGAAGCTGTGAATCTATCGCGGTATGCCACCTCAACTCAGAGATAAAAGTCCAAGGCCAGATGATGGTGGAGATTCCCGAATGTGTAAATATACCAGGGGGGGCTGGCAGTGCAAAGAGGGAACCCTGCCGTGTCTGCGATGCAGAGAGAAAGGCAAAGGCAAAGGCAACCCACCTATCGACCGATGCCACCCAGGGTCCAGACTCCGGAACGCGATCGAGGCGTCGGTGTGCGCGGGTAGTATCCAAGGGCCGGCCGGGCAAGATTCGTGAGGCCGGCTCTGATTGTCGAGGGATAAATACCCACGGAGAGAGCGGCAACACGTGTTTCCCCCGCTTCAGGCGTGGCGGAGTGGGTAGACTAAGGACAGAACCTCTCGTATGCAGAATGAGATTCTAGCGATCTGTTGTCTCCTGGTGACCCTTCCCTCCGACCGATCCTGAGATGTTGCATTCCCTTTGTAGCTGAAGATACTGCCCATGCTAGCCCTGATTTCTGCGATAAGAAGTTCCCTGCGCGCACCTCTATATCGGAGCTGCGTGGCGACCCAGACCAAACCCCCCTTCCGCTCGAGACTCATCACCCGCCGTATCTTGTAGTCGATCTGGCTTCGTATTGTCGTTGCGGGCCGCGAAGCAAGAATACTCCCCTTCGGGCGCTAGTGGTAAACAAAACACCTCGCTTATGCCCGACGTCTTGGCGCCGCCCTCGCGACCAACTCGACGAACTCGACAGAACCTGGTCGGCCACACGACCCTAGATTTCCGAACCCTCTCCAGACTGAGGAAACGAACTCTTCGATATCCCCGAACACAATCCAGCTGCAAAGCCCTCAGCATGCGGTCCTCCGCCATCCTCGCGATCGCGCTCGCGCTCGCTCCTGCTCTCCTCGCGACAGCCGTCGACGCGCAAGGAGTCACCTTCGCCTTCGATCCCACGTCTGTCAGCCTCGCCGACCGAAACGCATGGTGCAAGGAGGCCGAGGGCACCTGTTCCACCCTCTGCCAGGCGCACACCATCCAGAACGACTGCTCGACGGATACCCTCGCGCAGAGCTGCCAGTGCTCGTACTACGAGACCCCCGACCTTGCGCTCTACACCGGCTCGATGCAATCCCTCAAGTGCCAGCGGACCTACATGGAGTGCTTCAACGACAACAAGCTGGATGGCGGCAAGCAGGTCGAGTGCCAGAGCGACATCATGGACAACTGCCCCTCGTCGGATCCGGATGGGTACCAACCACCCGTAAGAGTCACTGCTGCGTCGTCGACCCAGGCGCGCGTCTCGACGACCACGGCCACGGATAAAGTACCTACCCGCACTGGACAAGCTGGGGAAACCATCCCGGTCGGCGACTCAACCAGCACGACACTGAGTCCAGTTTCGACGCCGACCTCTGAGGCTCCCATCTCGCATCTGCCCTTGCTAACCTCACGATCTACACCAACGCCTGGCTCGACCGGTGCCCCCCAGCCATCAACCACCACACCGTCAACCACCACCCCGTCAAGCACGCCCCCACCACCGACCTCGCAACCCTCCGCCTCCCTGACCCACACGAGCCCTCCCGCAGCCGCATACACGGGACGCGCTCCGAGAACCATCGCCAGCTCGGTCGGCACCTGGGTCGGTATATCAGTAGGCGCCACCGCGGCCTCGCTGCTGGCTCTCTTCCTCGGGCTGCGCTACCGCCGCAAGGCCGCCGAGAAGCAAGCCGCCGCGGACGCGCGCTCGGTGCGGTCCAACCGGGGCTCGATGATCATGCTGCCGGGCATGGCCACGCACAACGGTCTCAGCTACCAGCGGGCGGACGTCGTCGCGGAGGCGGCGGCGGCGGCGGAGGAGCAGGAGAAGAAGGAGCAGCCGTTGGCCGAGTCGGGCGTTCAGGACGGGTTGGGGCCCGGGGAGTATGGCTATCCGCGTACGGCTGAGATGGGAGAGGGTCGGCCGCCGCTGCGATCTGCGCTTAACGAATTGGCGTAGGAGGCGGGCGCGGGACGGCAGGTCAGTAGAAGTAGATATGCGGTGCGGAGCGGATACCTGCCATGAAGGATCTCGTGGGTGGTCTCGACCATGGTCATTCCACCGCAGCAAGCTCTGGCTTGGCTATCTCTGGGTGGCCCTGAGGCTTACTTTTGCTCTTGCTCTCGAGGCAAAACAAAATAGCCGCTGGCTGCTCACGCAGTCCTGGGTATTTTCTTTCTTTGAGGTTAGCTAGGTCAGTGAAAAGAAACAAACGCGAGGGATAGATACTTCTTTCTGCAATGAATGGACCCTTTTAGCCTCTGCTTCCAAGCCTCTCTCTCTCTC